CCCGCCCACGCCCCTCCCCCGCGGGGCGCCAGCGCCGCGTCCACGCAGAGCGCGCGCTTACGCAGTTCCCGTCCACCACCACCACCCGCGTATAGTTGGGAAACTGAGATCTGGAAAGAGACTGGGCCGGGGGCCAAGGGGGCAGGATCCCGCGGAGAAGGCAGGGATCTGACCTCCTGGGCCCAGGCTCCACCCTCCTGTGGGGTTTGCTTTGGGAATAGAGCCACCAAGATCCTGGGTGACCCCTGCCCACTCGCTCCGCGCGGCGCCCTCTCCTCTGGCCACCTCCACGCAGGCACAGGCGCACGCGCGAGCACAGCTGTTCACCCACACGGGCGTCCTAGGTACAGAGGAGGGCGTGACACGGGGGAGGTACCGAGGAGAAGGAAGGAAGAGGTTGGAGCCAGCTCGGTCCTGGGGCAGGGGCGTCCAGTCTCTTAGCAACACGCCTCCGCCCTCGGGGGGATGTGCCAGGCTGATGGGCAGAAGGGTGCCCAGGATTCCCAGGGTCCGCCTGGCAGGGGCCGACCTCAAGGAGACATGGCCTTGGTCCACCACTCGGGGCACCTAGAACAAGGACAAGCGTGTCTGCCTGGTGTGGAGGGGGCCACAGGGGAGAAGGCTTCAGTCTCCTCCTCTGCAACGCCGGCGTGCTTGGCCTTCTGACCCCAAGAGTCCCACAGGCTTGTAGAGCGTTTTCCATCGGTGACCCATGGCCCCTCAAGGGCCTTGGAAAATGCTTTCTCCTCCCTGAGCAGAGCGTAGCCTGGGGACCGGCCCTGGACCGCGTCTTTGTTGGAGCCCTGGGGTCCTCATTCTGAAGTGGAGCGGGGTCATTGTCTTGGCTGGGGTAAGGAGGGAGTGAACCGGACACCCCGGGGCCAGCAGATGGAAGGAGGGGAACAACTGCGGTTTCTGAGGTCCCTCTCAGTGCTCAGGGAACCTGTAGATCCTGCTCCTTTTCCTCCCCCGGGCCTGGGAAAGGAGCTTCCTTGACAACAGCCAAACAAAGGTGTGTGTTTTGTTTTGTGGATTTCTTGCCTTGGGCTGCAGTGCTGGCTGTGGCCGCCTGGGGGAAGCAGTACCACCGTGTCTGGAGGTAGGAAAGAGCCCCAGGGTCGGGCTGTGTGTGCCCTACACCTATCACTATCGTCTGTGTCTAAAATTTGAACTGCGGGAGCCGGGGATTTAGCTCAGCGGCACAGCGCCTGCCTAGCAAGTGCAACGTCGTGAGTTCGATTCCTGGTACCGGAAGAAAAACAAAAACAAACAAAAAAAAAAAATTTGAACTGCGCAGGGTTGGGAATGTGTTCGACATGGTCTCATCTTGTGTCCCTGAAGGCAGGGGCCGCCCTGGACCTGGGCCCCTCCAGCCACTGCTGTATGACCATAGCATCCCCAGCTCACCCCTGACACCAGGCATCGGTGATGTCACAGTTTTTGTGCACCTGCACCCAGGCCAGCTCAGCCTGGGCCTCTGCCTGGGATCTCTAGGAGGCAGGGGTTTCTGCTCTATGGTGGCTGGGCCGGGACAGCAAAACCTACTCATTCCTGGGTTACTGGCAGGATCCAGTTTGGAAAGAGGGCCTCAGATCCCCTGTATCTGTGGGCTGGGGACCTCTGGAGGCTCCTTGCCACATGGGTCCCTCCGAAGGACCCAGCATCAGGACAGGCTCCCCTCCAAGGAGGGCCGGGGGCGGGGGCATGCAGGGGAAAGCAACAAGACAGAAGACATGGTGTTTACAAGTCTTGGTAGTGACCTCACTTCGCCGTGCTCTGTCCCGCTGGTTAGAGGCCAGTCCCACAATCCAGCCTGCCCTGGGGGAACCGATCCCTCAAGAACTGTGTGCAGGACACAGGGATCCCGGGAGTCAAGCTGGGGTAGGGGTGGGGGGCAGAGATGGAGCCTGGGGCTTGATTCTGAACCTAATGGGGAGCCTCTGGGAGGTTTGTGACAGAGAGTGACAGCACCTGGTTTGTGCTCACTTTTCAACCCTCTTACGATGCAGACTAAGAGAAGGAGGACTTGCCCTAAAGCTTAGCACCAGAGCCTGATTTGCATTGTAGTTTTCGGAGCCCCGTTTCTTCTTGGAATTCTCCTACTCTGGGTTTGTGCACTAACCATGGGGCCTCGAGGCACTGGTTTTACAGGTGACCTCTCACGTGCACATTCACGTGAGAAGCCCAGGGACACAGATAATGGAATGATCTGCCTTGTGCACACTGGGGGCCCTAGGCAGGCCCCGGAAGGCACAGTTACTAGTCCAGATCCCAGAACTGGTCAGAGAAGAGCAAGGTGGCCCACATGAGCCCACCTCCTGAGCCTTGGGGGTTGGGCATGCGCAAGCCCAGGGGTCGGCTGTCCCAGCACCCAGGGAAGCTCCTGCCTGGGGCTGCCTCTGCTCACAGCGCTCTCCACCCTGTTTCCTGTGCCCCCCCTGCCCCATGCTGTTGTGCCTGGATAGTTAACATCTACGTATGATGAAGTGGAGAAGGAGGGAACTCTCCCCTCATTCCTGGGCCCAGGCCCCACCAGAGGGGGCGGGGCGG